GCGCTTGCCTGCTACCTTTACGATGTCGTCGGTCCACCTTGTCGGTGGACGTCCCACGCTGCGTTTTCCGGTACGCGGCCACCATTCCAGAACCTTGCTGCCCCATCGGCCGTCAGTTCTGCGTACTATGTACCCTGCCCGTTGCCACTTCAGCTTGCTAATCCGTCGGGCTATGTCAGCGACTTTAGTTCGTTTACGGATCTCCTCATTTCTGATTCGATCTTAAGGCATGCAGTACATAAAATAAATAATTAGGTAATGTATTCGGTGGTTTAAGATTATGTAGGACACACGAAAGCACGTTAAACAGGTACAGATAGATAGAGATAAAATACTGCATCTTTCCTCGGTCCCCCATCAGGTGGACCGACGATCTGGTGAAGGTCGCGGGAAGTATCTGGATGTGGGCAGCGCAGGACCGGTCGCTATAGAAATCCTTGTGAGAGGCCTTTGTCCAGCAGTGGACGTCATTTAGCTGAACGAAACTAGTAGGTGCTGTATTCTAGGTGCTATATTATCAGCTTCTTAAGTGCTTTTGATTGCTCATTGCCTACATCAAAAGAAAAGAAAAGCTTAAGCCAGGTTTCTAGGGATTTCCCACAGAACTAAATATTTTTAGTTGGATTAAGAATTTATGAAGTGTTTTTTATTATAATTTCAATCATCGGTATTAATAATCTTCTCATAACTCATCAACAAACCGACAGTCGCTTATTAAAATTCACAGCGTAACTTTTTTAATAATATAATTACTAATAACGTATTCTACACGCTCCTTCTTTCAGATAGAGGTCATTGCCTTCTCACTTGACAGTTCTTTTTTTTGAATTCATATCTAACTGTCAGTTCTGACGTTTGAGCCTTGACATTTCAAGATGGCGGCGCAGATTGGCGCGATTTGGATATCATCTGAAATTGGTAATGATTTGAATCTCGTAAGAAATATTTTAGCACTTTTTAGGATGGTTTTAGAATCTCTTAGCGCCGACGATCAGCGCGATTTGAAAACCTGCCTTAAGACTGTTATACAATGAAGAAATTTTTATATCATTGAAAACTATACAAAACAAAGCTTATAATAATATTCAGTGAGTAACAAGTTGAGCTGTATATTTTTGTTACAAAGAAGGTCTTAAAAATTTGCACGAGATACCACTGTGTAAGTTTTACATATTGTATGTCGCCGTCTTATGAGTATCGTGGTATAATCTAAATCAGATAAGATAGGTACTTTAAGTACTAATTTACTTGTTGATTGTAACTTATTTTAATTAAGTTTTATTCCCAGAAACATGAATGTCAGATTGCTGCCTATGGCGGATTATCAAGTCTGACACTAAATGACCAGATACAAAAAGAACACAAATTGTTGAGTGTTTTGTAACGTATTTTCACAACACAAACTAACTTTTACTATCAGACATTGTACAAAATGTCCACTTTCACCGCGCGCCAATTTTCACGCCCTGCCCTTTCTCTGAAGACAATGGTATTACACATAATTGTTATGCCGGTGACTAAATGTTATGTCGCGGTGCAAGACTAGGAAGAAGACAAGATGACTTATTAGAAAGCTCTAAAAATAATCATCATCATCATTTCAGCCATAGGACGTCCACTGCTGAACATAGGCCTCCCCTAATGCTTTCCACGTTGATCGATTGGCAGCGGCCTGCATCCAGCGCTTCCCTGCTACCTTTACGATGTCGTCGGTCCACCTTGTAGGATGAAAAAATAATGTCAAAAGAAAAAATCTTGAGATTCGTTCTTTTTACGTTTATCGACATGTGAAAGAAAGTATACGACTTATAGACAAAGAGTAAATTGTATCAGACTAGTTACTGTGACAAGAGTAGCGGGCTCGATAACCACTCTATGGTATAGGTATCTACAATATAATTCTTTGACTATCAGCAGTGTAATTTCTTTCACTGGAATCAACTAAATTTAATTTTATTAATAACTAGAGAGTTGTCATTTTTATTTCATATTTGCCCGCGGCTTCACCCGCGTGAAATTTAGTGCCACAGAATCGTATAAATTATAGCCTATGTTAATATGAGTTACAAATAATAATGCTTAAAGTTTCAACAAAATCCGTTCTGTAGATTTTGCGTGAAAGAGTAACAAACATCCACACAAACTTTCACCTTTATAATATTAGTAGGATTCACTGCTGGCAAAAGACTTCCCCCAAGTATTTCCACAACGACCGGTCCTGCACTGCCCGCATTGTCGTGCTAGTTGTAAGAAAAAAAAGCTTCTTATCAACCGACTTCAAAAAANGGGGATGAACTTTTTTATACGCAATATCACCGCCGATTATAAACCAATTTGAACGATTATTTTTTTGTTGAATAGGTATTATCAAAAGGGTGGTTTCATCCGAATTTGAAGAAAATATTTCACCCCCAAGGGTGGAAAATTGGGGATGAACTTTTTTATACGCAATATTTTTAATTTTTAGTTTTTTTTGTGTTCACGCATTTGAAGTCGGTTTTATTTTTTTAAAAAGTTAATTATTTTAAGAATTATTTATCTAGACGTTTGTTATAAGTCCTTATTTCACACTTGCACCGCGACACCATATGATAATGTCCGCGAACCGTCATGCTTGCACATTGACGCCTCCATTGAATGCTTAGAAGCTATAATGGCGCGATTGTAAGCGCGTGCGCTGGTATACTCAGCTACGTTTTATTTGTAAATGTTTAGAAAAAAATTATCCTACTAATATTATAAATGCGAAAGTTTGGATGTCTGGATGTTTGTTACTCTTTCACGAAAAAACTACTAAACGGATTTTGATGAAACTTTACAGTATTTTTGTTTATAACCCAGAATAACATATAGGTTATAATTTATGACGATCTGTGACAAACGAAATTTCACCCGGGTGAAGCCGCGGGCGGAAAGCTAGTACTATAATAATCCTTGTCTGGAGAAACAAATTATCTTGGGACAAATGGAAGGCAGACGTGCTCGAGGCAGGGCACCGACGAGATGATCGGACGCGGTGAGGAAGACGGTGGGCGGGATATGTTCCCGTAAAGACGTAGCTAAAATACAGTCAAATGGTAAACATTTCAATCAACGTGTGATTAACCAACCGAAGAACTCAACGAGTAAAAATGTTCATTTATTTTTAATCTTAGGATAATCATCATCATCATAATTTCAGCCATAGGACGTCCACTGCTGAACATAGGCCTCCCCCAATGCTTTCCATGTTTATCGATTGGTAGCGGCCTGCGTCCAGCGCTTTCCTGCTACCTTTACGATGTCGTCGGTCCACCTTGTAGGTGGACGTCCCTTAGGATAAGATTTACCATAAATATCATGGTTACATTTTTCAAGTCCAAAGTTGCCTTTTCAGTACTAAGCTAAAAAAATCTAGCTACCGTGAGGAGTGTAGACCAAATCCTCTGTTTGCCTCTCTGGCAAATTAGAGAGGGTCGTGCTCCTGCAGTGGAGACATAATAACTTGCCCAAATCTAGCCAGAGTGCAGTTCGTTCGTTCGTTTCAGCCGAATGACGTCCACTGCTGGACAAAGGCCTCCCCCAAGGATTTCCACAACGACTGGTCCTGCGCTGCCCGCATCCAGGCACCTCCCACGACCTTCACCAGATCGTCGGTCTACCTAGTGGGAGGCCTGCCCACACTACGTGTGCAGTATGGCGAGCGTAAACTAAATTCTCCATAATTTTCTGGAAATTAATAAGAGAGGGTAGCAGGAAGTCTTTGGATGCAGGCCACTACCAACCGAGCGATGTGGAAATCATTGAAGGAGGATGTCCTGTGCCAGCCACAGTATAGTAATAATGATGATGATGATGAGAGAGGGTACAAGATAGAAGTCTCCTAAATGATCTGACCACTTGGTAGATCACCAATGAGATAGACGAACCAGATCAAGGCCGCAACTAAGTGCTCGGTTAGCGAAAGTACCCGGAAAGCTGCATTTCGTGAGGAATGGCGCCGTATTGCGAGGAACATCACTCTGAAACGTGATTCACAATGATGACCACGACCATTCTGACAAGAGTGTACCGATTGAGAAGAAGAAGAAATGATCTGATGATGATGTCTAGTCCGACTGTACCAGTTGTGCACGATAAATGAGAACAGACCATCCATTGTAAGCAAATTTCATAAAGGCAACCGTCAAAATGTTGACAGGAGGATGTGAGGCAATGACTGTTTGTTATGTCATCGCTGCAATCGAATTGATAACATTTGCAAATCAATTTAAGATCTAGATTGATATGTGGGTAGATAGCATCAGCTTAAACTGGATACAACCATTTTATTTTCTAGGTTTTTTCTGCGAATTTGTCTTTAGATTTTAATAAAAAGTAGCCCGACCAATTAATTTATACGCTATACCGGATTATCCATTGAAATATTTTAATATAATCTGCCCAGTAGTTTTTGCATGAAGAAGTAAAAATTATTGAAGCCACGATAGCTGAACGCTGAAGAGGTGATCCGGGGAACGCGGGTTCGGTCCTCGCCGCCGCTCGACTATTGTGGTGAGCTCACTCGTGATACAAGCATATTTAGCTTAGTACGATGGGCTAACGGGGCTATTAGTAATTTGTGTAATAACAAATCAGTAATAATCTTTAAAAAAATGTTCATCATCTCAAACTTTTGCGTTAATCTTACGCTGTCAACATCGGTCCATCAGTTGTCGTCATGACACCATGATATTGACGGATGATTTGTGTTTATTTGCTCATAAACTTTCTTTACTCGATAAGCATAGTCTACTATATAGATTGTTTCATCGACGATGATGCGACTCACAGTTCTTCCGCTAATGTTTGAGTGTCATCGGTACACGCTACACTACAATAATGACGCTCGAATTGCTCGGATCAAACTCCCCGAACCCCACGCTTCCCTCGACCAAAAATTGGTTGGGCGCGTCTTCATGGATGAAACGATCTACATAAACACAGAAAATACCGAAATAGATATAATAAAAAGTTCTTACCTTTTCTGCACATGAATTCTGAAACAACAGAAAAATATCATTAGTGATCTGTAGTTCAACTCAATCAAGTTCAAAATATGATATCAAACGTTCAGCTACCGTCAGATACACGGTTACCCTTAAAAAACAAATCAAAAAGCTAAATCATTACTTTTAATCTACGAGTAATAATTATTTATAAAAGTGAAATGTCATTGATTGACTGACTCACTCATCACGAAATCTCAGAAACTACAAGTGCTAGGAGTCTCTATCATGGGGGTCCTTTTAGAACGAAGGTGCTCACTAAGACGGGATTTTGCAAAATTCAACCTCTAAGGGAGTGAAACGTTATCCACGCGTACGAAGTCGCGAGCGGCCGCTGGTATTTGATAGAGATACTGATTTGATAAAGATTAGTGTTAAGAAATATAAAACGTTGTTTGCTGTAAGTGGTTCTTATTAAAAATCCAGTAACTCTAATGTGATTACAACTGTTGTAACAACGTCCATCACGTTTTATTTGCAATCCCAATAAGACACGTGTCTTTACATTTTCCAAGGCGTTTCAAAATCTTTAATTATATCAATGATCATATTTCTAAACCAGCATCAGGTGCTATATTGGCTGCCACAATAACATCATTCTACGATTGCAAAATTAAGTAACGATAGATTAAGCTATTAAAATAATCATTATTATCGCCTACATTGTTATTTCTTTTTGTTATTTTATCGGAATGTTCAATTTATAATCCAAAATGATTATCACAAAAAATAAAACTATAAATCCTTTTTTCCATTAATCGTTTTGGTGGGAAATCGAAAAAACCCGTTGCCATAAGTCAACTTTTCTACAAAACGTGATTTCTCTATTCAATTAGCTCAACAAAGAAACTATGACATCAATTTTCGACAGCCATTTGACTATTTATTGCTATCTGACTAGCTAGATCTATCTGTTGAATAAATACTTTAGGGTCAAATTAAGTGTTTTTATGCAATAAATAATGTTCATCCAGTGTCTAAGTAAACATAACCCTCCTTCTGGTGCAGTCGGGTAAAAAGCAGTGGCCCGGCAAGCGAAAGGTCGTTAGTTCGATTCCCACCTCAGATAGTTATAATTTTTTCAGTTATTTAATGAATAAAATGTTCAGAGGGCAAATACTTGACTGTGCGTATTATAAACTCATCATTTATTGTCGTCGAGTTGAGAATCAAACCAAGTACTTTAAGGTCCATTTTCCGAAGCCATCGATATTGTCCTGTGATTGGTCCAGACAAATAAATACAAACACGTGTAACAACGGTAACATATTACAGGTATTTTTTTTTCATATGGGTCACTTAAAAATTATAGATTGATGGTGAAAATGGGCATCAATCTATTGTTAAAACTGAATCGAGACTTTGACTCTTAAACCTCAAATGCTTTAAGAGTGAAAATCGGGAGAGTCAAAACTCCCCAAAACCGTGACTTAGCCCCAATGACCTTCACATCTCTTCAAAGATAAAAATAAGTACATAATCTAATAACTACACCAATCATATTCGTAACACATAAAGATATAACACACTAACACAGCATATCAGAAAGTGAGCGTGTCCCCATTCCTGGCCACGTGGTTACACTGACCGAGATTGTATATACGTAATTATTGTCTATCTGTCTGTCAAGACGGAGATCAAGTCGCTAGAAGTGGCTTGGCCAATTTTGATGAGATCACTGTCGATTTAAAACATCGAATCATCGCCTACATACTCTATTGATCAATAAAACAGCTTATCGTTGGGTTTCATTCTCTTAGGATATGAACGAAGTAGCTTAATTATAGAAAATACAAAACTGTAAAGAAGAAAAATGATATTGTATCGTTCGTTCGTTCGTACGTTTCAGCCGAAAGACGTCCACTGCTGGACAAATGCCTCCCCCAAGGATTTCCACAAAGACCGGTCCTGTGCCGCATATTTTATGTGCCGCCGATATTGTATCAATTAGAATAAAAACTAATATGGAAGAAGATCAAAAGATAAGAATAATTTTCTTCGTTATTTATTACTGCAGACAGTACATTCTTGTTGCAAAATCACACCTATTTAATATGTAATACATAGTTTTTAGTTTGCGTGCTTTTGTCTACATTATTGTCCACATAAAACTTACTATTAAAGGACGAATTTTCTCAATTTATTTTCGCCTACACTGAACAACTAGAGTTCAAAATCTATTGGCCAAATTTCTCATACAATTACATCCCATTCCCATGCCAAATAACAAAACCAAATGAATCTATGGAAAACATCACGTGTTTTAACCTATTTAGTTAATATTTGTGTCTAAACCGAAACACGGAAGTTTCCCCTTGTCGAACAGGGTTGCTATAATAAAATATATGACTTAAGTGTTACAAGTTTAGAGATCAGGGATTATAATGTTTTGAGGTGAGTTTGGGAATAATCGAAAATCGAGCTCTACCATTGGGGGCCATTCAAAATAATTGAATAACAATTTTCTTTGAATCTTCGGTCGTTGATAGTCGAGATTATAATTTCTACTTTTACTTTATCTATTACTAGCTGACCCGGCGAACTTTGTTCCGCCTTAATGGCAATAAATAAGCAGACTTTTTTTTTTATTATTTCGAACGGGATAAAAAGTATCCTATGTCCTTCTCCTGGCTCTAAACTACCTCCCTGACAATTTTCAGCTAAATCGGTTCAGCCATTCTTGAGTTATAAGTGGAGTAACTAACACGACTTTCTTTTATATATATAGATTCTTTTGGTTAATTGATTTTTCTGGCTACTTAGGCCTTTTATCGTAATTTTTTTATCAAATAGATTTTTGTTAATAAATGTGTTGCTGACTTGCACTGCGCTCGTAATAAAGTGCAAAATTCGGTGGTAAAATTACAGCTTTTTTTGGGCTTAATGTTTTACAAAATAAAAGAGAATAACAACCTCTTTGCCACATCTAGCAAATAATACCTTGTCAGTTCCAATGTATGAAGTATAATGGCGATTACTTTATAACCTGTGCGTGTGAGTCTAATTCAATGTGTTGATACATCGGCCTTGGCATCGCGGCGGTTTAGTTACAGTTCGACTCCTGGTGGGGTCAGTAATTATAGCTCAATTTGGATTTATTTTAATTTGAGTGTCATTTTCGCGTAGTTTTTTTTATCCACAACGAGGAAGCTCTTGGCCTATATCTCACCTGATGGTAAGTGATGATCATGCCGAAGGTGGAAGCGAGCTTCACCCGTAATCCTCAACCACGGAGGAACTGGCTAACTTACCTCTAACTGCCGGACCACAACAATGCTGTTAACATTGTTGTTATGGCGACAGACTTAGGTAAAATGGTGGTAGCTAGCCAGGCGGATTTAGAACAAGCCCTACCACCAACCATAATTAAGGTTTTTTAATCATAACGAGACTATTCTCACCTCTCGTTCCTACCGCTGCAACTTCTGTGTAGCTAGGATCTACAGATTGACCGCCAATAAAAACCCAACCAGTCAAGGTCAAGTTTGTCGCGGGGGAAAGTTAAACTGTCTTTGGACCCGCAACGAAATTTTTTAATCGTAGTAACTATAGGACATCGTTTTATCAATATTTAAGATAGAGTATAATAAAAATAGACACACAAAATAAATACCAAATCAAAACGGCATAATTAAGGCAACCTTATCGTTAGGAAGGGATCTCTACCAGACAAAAACTTAAGACCCAGGAAAACAGGTCAATATTATTCAGGTTTTTGACTAAGACATTTATTTAAAAGACCGAAATTCTCGCAAGCAAAAAACTAGTAAACAATAAGTACCTATTTCAGAGACATTGCGTCTTAAAAGGAAATTTTCGTCTGTCCCACTTTTTAGGAACCAATGGTTAAGTTAAGATCGAAAGTGATTCGAGCAAGCACTTTCACTCAAGTTATGTAGTTACATTTCACTTGCAATAAAAGCCTAAATAAGTTCTTTAGTAGCTTTAATATTGTTTTAGGTAAGCACTTAATCCTAAAAACTTTCTGTTGTTGGAGTTTAAACTTTATGTCATCGAAATAAGATTGATAATTAGATTATAATATGGTCATAGACATTAAGGCGCGGTCGTCACGACCGTAATACGAATCTGTATCTATTTATTTGTTAACGGTACGGTGTCCTTTTATGGACATGGTCGAATTGAAATCAAGGAAACCAGTTGGATGTAATAAAATCGAATGGAAAGTGAAAAAACTTATAATATGCTAAACACACTGTACCTACTTAAATATAGTAAACTATTTAAAGTTAAGTCCGAAAGAAGAGTCACAAATCGTATGTAAATATTGTATTGCGAAACAAAACATAGGCAGAGTAATGTTGGTTGGTAGAGGTGAAAGTAATACTTTGTGACAAATAGACAGACAGCGGAGCAGATATGAAAATTATCCCAAATGCACCCTTTGGGTACAGAACTCAAAGAATATTAATCTTAATGTACCATGTTTCTTCTCTACTACCTATGTGGAACTCTACAATGTTTTCTGAAAACCCCATTGGTGACTGGTGGACTCGAGATCTGAGGTTCACTGGTTCGAACCCCGCCGCCGCTGGACTATTGTGGTGAGCCCACTCGTAACACAAGCATGCCTTAGCACGAGATAGGTTAGCACGAGAGATTAACCTTTAACTTTTTTCATTTGTGTATTTCTTTCTATCATTGTTTAGTTCCATAATAATCGAAGTGTTGTTACATATTTTTCTAACTACATAGGTGTCTATGTCGTATCCATACTAAACCATAGTCTGGTCTGATTTCCTGACCTGCTTGTTTCTAATTGTGCGTCCTTTATGGTGTCCATAAACACCATGATGGCTTAATTAATGAGCAACCAATACATCACGGACTTTCTTTTCTATTGATTTATTATACCATAAATAGATAACGGCTACGTAGTATAATATATATAGATTTTATTTAGGAATGTATTTTTACTAATGATATCTTGTTCATTATGTTTTGAGAAAAAATCGTAAAAAATATAGTAC